GAGTAAATTCTCTATGTAGGGTCAAAACGGAAGTCACTTTGAACCAAAGCCTGTGCCACCACCAATTCCAAAGAAATGTGACTGGGAAATTGAACCAGCTGAGCTGGATTTCTCAAATGCTGCGATGATTGGAAAGGTTTGTATTCTCTTGAAGCTAAGTTTTGTTCGTAATATCGATATTTTTTTAGTTAAGCATTATCTGTGGAGTTTTTAGTTCAATTCAATGAAGTTTCTGTAGTGAGTGTCTTTTGAATAATTGAAGGTTGGTCACATTCTGTTAGGGTTCCTTTGGCGAGATTGTGAAAGCCTATTGGAGAGGAACACCAGTAGCTGTGAAACGTATTCTTCCATCTCTTTCAGATGATAGACTGGTTATGTAAGTTCTTATTTATCTTAAATTTCAATTGCTATTTTTGAAAGAGTTTCCTTGACAGCTTCTAGTGTAGACTTTGGTATCCGTTTCTCCTAAGATTCTTGTGTTTTATATGTTCCATGTTTGCTGTGATGCAGTCAGGACTTCAGACATGAGGTTGATTTGCTAGTTAAGCTTCGCCATCCGAATATAGTGCAATTCTTAGGAGCAGTAACCGAAAGAAAGCCCCTTATGTTAATCACGGAATACTTGCGCGGGGTAGGTTTTTCGCTGTCCGCTTGCTGTATTTATCTCTGAATGTTTTCGTACTGGCTAACTAAATTATTCATCTGTTTATCTTAGGGGGATCTACATCAATACCTCAAGGAAAAGGGCAGTCTTACTCCAGCGACTGCTGTCAACTTTGCATTGGATATCGCAAGGTACTTGAAGCTTTGAGATATTATGTGAAAATTTATTTGTCATAATGGCCTGAGTGTTTTTTAATTTGGTGCTAACAGAGGAATGACATATCTTCACAATGAACCTAATGTTATCATTCACCGAGATCTTAAACCAAGGTAATCAAAATTGCTTTATAGCTCCTTAGTATCTTACTTCAAATCCGCTGTTTGTAAACGGGTCCTCGCATTTTGAATTTCAGGAACGTTCTCCTGGTTAATTCCAGTGCAGACCACTTGAAAGTTGGAGACTTTGGGCTTAGTAAGCTCATAAAGGTTCAAAATTCTCATGATGTCTACAAAATGACTGGTGAAACTGGAAGCTGTAAGTGTTGTTCTCTAGGAATACTGGAAGTCTTCTGTTTTTTTTCTTCTTTCATTTTCTCCAACTTCACATCCATTGTTTCACTGTCTCGTGCAACGAACAAAACCAGACCGGTATATGGCTCCTGAAGTATTCAAGCATAGAAGATACGACAAGAAAGTCGATGTCTTCTCCTTTGCAATGATACTTTACGAGGTATTAAGATCTTAAATTAGAAAATCTCTTTGTCTCGACAATAAACAGAACCGTTTAGAGAATATTAGCTTCATTTCATTACCTCATTACCACATTGTACCCAGATGCTTGAAGGAGAGCCACCATTTGCGAACCACGAGCCATATGAAGCAGCCAAACATGTATCAGATGGACACAGACCTTCTTTCCGTTCCAAAGGATGCACACCGGATTTAAGAGAGTAAGCAAAACCCAAGACCATATTGCATCAGTTTTAGTGTACTGCTTAGCTAACCGGTTTCTTTTTTTATAGGTTAATCGTTAAATGCTGGGACGCGGACATGAACCAGAGACCGTCGTTTCTGGACATCCTCAAGAGACTTGAAAAGATCAAGGAAACTCTACCATCAGATCACCATTGGGGGTTATTCACTTCATAATACACCAAATCTTTATTTAAAACAAAAAACAACCAGAAACAAGAAAGTTACATTCTGTTTGCTGATTA